CCTGAGCCGGGATTCGGACTTAGGTCTGTTTGACCCTGATATCGCTTAAAACTAAAAAAAAATAAAATAAAATAAAATAAAAAATCAAAGTAACCCTGCGGGCCCCCCCAAAAGCACTCAACCATAAAATTAAAGAGGGCTCTAAGTTAGGCGGTCACTGTGATTAGGCCCAGTGCCAGGAGAGTTTGAGATTTTTCAAGGCACCTCCTTGAATCAGCTCAGTGTCCAAAAGTGTTCTCTCACCTCAAGGGAGCCTCGGTTCCCCCAGGCCAGTGGCTGGTGACAACACAATGTGATGATGTTACTTTGACTGTGGCCATGTGGTCACGAGGAAGCCCCTGACCCCCTTCCGGCCTCTTTGTCCTGTTTAGTGCTCCATGTGGGGGCCCCTTGCAGGCAGCCCGGCTGGTCTTGACTCTGAGGTGAAGGGGTGAACATCTTGGGACTCTTTATTAGTTTATTTCAGAAGATGGAGCCTGTTTGTCCCTGGGGCCCACCCTTCTTTTATGGCCTCCAGCCCTTCTTGACAAATTCTAGCGACTGGAGAGAAAACCGCTTTCTACAGCGGATCATTAAAACACCACCATAAACCCAGGGCCATAAAATATTATTCGCCTGGCATGAAAGGGGGGTCGATTTTCCCAGAATGTCAACCCAGGGCTTGCTTTCTCCCACTGGGAACAGCGGCACAGGGATGAGATCGTTCATAAAGTCTTTATCTTGCACTCTGTTTTGTGAAATAACCCTGTTGGGAGAGCAGCCAAAAATATTGATTTATTGGTTTCACAGACTCAAAAGCATTTTTAATGAGTGGAGTATGGTGATGCCTTGCCAGTGTGTCTGCAGATGACTCAATCTGAGTGCATACACCCAGATGCGCACGCGGTCTGCAAAGGGGAAAGGTGGAGTTCCGCAACCTGGAGGTCTGTGGAAGAAGACCTTTGAAGATGGAGATGGAGAGGGATGGATTTCCCTCCTTCGCACTGTTCATTTCCCTGCCAGATCAATAAGTACCCATCATGGGACTAGTTCTTGCAACTGAGCCTGGCTTTCCAGAGCAGCACCCCTGACTGAAGGGGCAAAGTTGGTTTCCAGTTGGCTCCCCTTAGCCTTTTTTGTCCATGCATGTATTCATTTGGTCATTCAACAAATATTGAGCACCTACTAAGTGCCAGGCACTGGGGCTACAGCTGTGGAAACTCTGTCACGGAGCGTACTACATGCTCCCGGGGTGTAATCTCAGCACCCCCATTACTCACATCCTCAGGTAAGGTCCACAATCCTTCATCTGAAGTCCTTGGGGTCGGATAGGTTTGTCGGACATTTTGGAACTTTTTTGAAAGATAAAATAGGGCATATGTTTATTTCATTTGCAAACAGCCCCCGTGAGGTCTGGGGAAGTACCCAGTAATCCAACACTGTTCATATTTCTTCTGTGAACAGTATGAACATTGACTCCAACTGGGATAAATTAAGACTATAAATGGCCTTGTCATGTGAGGTCTAGTTTTGCCACCAAAGGAGTTTAAAACCTGTTTTCAGAACTGCCTTTTGTAGAAGAGCAGGTATCGAGTGCCTGACCTACCCTAAGTGCTGCATGTCGCTAGGGTTCATTCTCCCCACGTCCCTGATTTTCAAGGTCATCTTTGAATTTTCATGGTATCCCTGCCAGGTAGGTCATTACATTTCTCTTTTTCTTTGCTGTGTGATAGGTCATTATATTTCTCTGTTTTTGTTTGTTTGTTGTTTTGTTATTCTGAGGCACTGAGTGGCTAAATGACTTGTCCAAGTTTTCATAGCTAGAACGTGACAGAGAGGGAATTGGAACTCTAGATGTCAGAGTTCATCCTCTTTTTTAAAAAAATACATTTTTATTGATATTTTAGAGAGAGAGGAAGAAACATTGATCAGCTGCCTCCTGCACACCCTCTACTGGGGATCAAGCCTGAAACCCAGGCATGTGCCCTGACTTGGAATTGAACTGGGACCTCTCAGTCCATGGGATGGCTCTCAATCCACTGAGCCACACCAGCTGGGCTAAGAGTTCAAACTCATAAACATGACCTAACACCACCTGCCACTAGAATAAAGACAGCAAAACAGGGTTGTGTCTACACAAATAAGCCAAGGTAATTGGAAAGAAGAAGAAATTATTAAGATAATTCAGAATATGACAATTCAAAAAAAGGGTTTGTGGTTTGGTAACCAGTATTTCTGGAATGGCTTGCATGAATGGAACAAATGCTCACATGAAGGTCCCTTTCTTTCTTAGGACTAGGATCACGTAAGTGTACTGCCTCCAGGCACTCAGGTGCCAGTGGCTTCAGCACCCTCTGGGGGCTGCATTCTTAGCCCACTCATTTCCTGCCACCTCTCAGTTCCTTCACCCAGGAACTGGAGGTGAGGAATTGATGGGAGGGGCATCATCTGGGGTGCCTGCCCATAGGCACCTGCGCTTCCCCAGCCAGAGAAACCCAGACTGCAGTGGTTGGGCAAAATGGTGGGGAGAGGAACTGGGGGAGGATGGGTTTGGCAGGCAAAGATGCCTCTTGTTTAGACCCTGTCTTCCAGGGGCAGATCTCAGGATAGATTGGAAAACTGGAAAATACCCACAGGATCATTACGTGGTGAAGGCCAGAGAGGGTGAGGGGAAAGTGGATTTAGGAGGTGAAGGAAAGATGTCCCAAGGGGCTCTTTGATAAACTTGGCTACTCCTCCTTAAGGCTGCGTGTGCTCCTGGAGAAAGCAAGCCAGCCCGTGGGAGTTAGGGCATCTCTTGTAGTTCATGGGAACCCCACACTTGACATGTTGGTGCAGCCAGCAGAGGAGGCCAGGCCTGTGGAGGGGTCCAGTCACCCAGACAAGTAAGTACCAGGAAGGGCCTGCCAAGGGTGTTACAGCATCACCAAAACCTCTCCCTGCTCACGCTGAATTGTCAGGGGTGGGATTGGGGTAGGAAAGTAGAAAAACAGATCAGCCACCAGCCCAAGTACCCTGGCTATGGATTTTGCCCTTAAGGTCAAGTGCATGCCACGTGGATGACTGACATTGAGGGGTGTGTGTGTGTGTGTGTGTGTGTCTGTCTGTCTTCCACCAGGAATGTCTGGAGAATGGGGAGGACTGAGAACAAGAACTGAGCTCTGGTGTGAGGTATTGTTTGGGGGCCTGAAGGTGTGGGTCACTCATCCACAAACCCTGCCCCACCTGGGTCCCAACAATCACGGGTGTCTCTGGAAGTGTCTAGAAGTTCCAATGCCGGGAACACGGTTTTGAACTTCGAAGGCTTCTCACCTGAGGGCACTCCCCAAGATCCACCCGGCAAGACCATGAGTCACATCGCGACCAGGGTCCCAGTCAGATGCTCAAGTTTGCACCCAAGTACCCAAATCTACTACCATAAGGGTGTTGCAGGATATGTGTGCCTACCCTATTCTCCAGACGCCCCGCCCCGGGTTTGGGGACCCCCACCCCCCACCCCCCCAGGGGTAAGAATGCAGAGGAGGTCTTCCAAGAAGTTCCGTGACAGGGCAGCAGTCCCGGTGGAAGGGGCCTGGTGGAAGACAAGCCCAAGAGTCCAGCCCGGGAAGTTGGGGTTCAGCCTCCTGCGGGTCCTTGGTTTTGGAAGGAGCGAAGAGAGCGGCAGCAGCAGGCAGGCAGCGGCTGCGGAGTGGACCTCTCTCTTTTAGCAGATGCCTGGGGGATGGGGAGCCCAGAGAAGGGGGCTCGAGCAGGGATTGCATCCCGCCCCCCTGCACCCCAGCCCGTGGTACGGCTTTAAAATCCTGCGGAGTTTGTCATAGGCCGGCCTCACCACGCATGCGCATAGGCAAAGTTGAGTTTTTTTCTTTCTTTTTTTCCCCCTTCTCTCTCTCTTTTCAGCAGCCTTTGGTTCTGCAACTTAAAAAAAATTTTTTTTTTTTTCCTTCTCCAAGAACACCAGGGGAAAGAGGAGTCCGGAGAGAGGGAAGGAGAGAGAGCGGCAGTTGGCCAGAAGGGCCGGGGGTGGGTGGGGGGGACGCGGTCGCTGCGGTCGGTGAGCCTGTCTGCGGGGCACAGGATCGCGTGGAAGGCTGCTGCAAACCCCGCGACGCCGCCTCCGCCGTCCAGAGTCCGGTTCCGTGCGGCCGCCGCCGAGCGAGCTCCTCCTGCCGCCGCCGCCTTGCCCTCGACCGCCCGCTGCCCTGCCCTCCTGCTCGCTCTCCCGCCCCTCGGGCCCGGGCGCCAAACGAGGAGGTGGGCAGCCGCGCCGGCCATGGACCTCCGGAGCTGAACAGCCGCCGCGGAGCCCCTCGCCCCTCCCCAGCCCCACGCCCTCGGTGCCCTCGCTTCGCGTCGCCCTTCGCCCTGGAAAGGCGGGGAAAAGAGGGGGATTAACCCGAAGAGAGAAAGAAGGGGGTGGGGAGGGGGGAGCCTGTGTCTCCCCTGGGGCAATCGCCCCCCAAAACCACCGCACGGCAGAACGTCCGGGGACGACTACCCATTTTGCGCCCCCTTTTTGCCAAACCCTAAAATGAAAGGACAAAAGTTGGCGCTGACTCTTACAGCTCGGAAGGCGACTTGTGCGTTTTCAGCGGCATCTCCCGGAGAAAAAACCATGCGCGCCTGATTGTTCAGTGGCCCCAAGCTGCAGAGTGTGTGTACGTGTGTGCGTGTTTGGGTGTGTGTCTGTGTGTACACAGACGTCCACACACTCGCGGCCGCAGGATCAGCGCCTGGAAGCAGACGTTTCGGCCACAGACTTGGAGAGGAGGAGCTGGAGATCAGGAGGGCGTGAGCCGCTGGGAGTTTGCAGAATCCGTGGTGTGAATGAACTGGGGGCACCTGGGCGCACTGATCGCCCCCCCCCCTTTCGCCCCAGGCCATAGTTGAGTAGTGGGGCATTTTTTTTCACCCTCTTGTGAAGAATTTTTTTTTATTATTTGTTGTAAAGTCTTTTGCACAATCACGCCCACATTTGGGGTTGGAAAGCCCTAATTACCGCCGTCGCTGATGGACGTTGGAGAGGGAGCGCCTCGCCGCGGAACAGTTGCCTGCGCGCCCTCGCCGGACCCGCGGCTCCCTTGTTGCGCGTCGACAGGGCCCAGTCTCTGCTGCGGGCCGGCGGGCTTCCGCGCCCCCTTGGTTCCTGGGTGCATCCCAGTGCTGCTCAGACTTGGGCACCCAGACACGGGCTCCAGTGACCGCTTCGGCTCCGATTCCCTGCGCCTGCCGGACGCGCCCAGTAGGAGCCCGCAGCTCTGTACCGGATTGTCTACCCAGGCTTAACCCGGTCGCTCCGCTTGGATTCCTCGGCTGCCCTTGCTCTGGTGGCGACTTCCTCTTCGGGCCCCCTCCCCCTCGTCATGAAGGTAGGTGTTCTGTGCGCCGCCGACTCTTGCCACTTTTTTTACCTTTATTTTTTTTCTTATGGAAGTTAACTGACTCCCCACCCCCCTCCATTTCTCCTACCGCCTCAAGAGAATGGAACTCCCGCGGGGCTGGCAGGGACCCTCACCCTTCGCTTCCCACCTCCTGCGCACTGCCTCCATCTCCCCGAAACCTCTTCACCAAAACTCCTGTAAACCTTTCCAACTTTGGAGAAAAAGTGGGGAAGAGCCAACCAAGGCAGAAAAACAGTGCGGTTCACGGAAGACTTCCCTTTGGGCCTGAGAAACTCGAGTGTACTTACTGTGTATGTTTCAGTAACAGGATAATGATTTAATTCAACAAATATTTACCAATTGCCCATTGCGCGGGCACCGAGAAGGTGTGTGGCCAGGGCTTGAAAAGGGGAAGTGAACTCCTTGGTTGGGAGACCAGGTAGCCAGCTGGATTAGGGGCCGACTGCCCAAAGAAGCGCACCCCTTGCCCTCTGCAGCCAGAGAGGCCAGGTTGCAGGCTCTTCGTGGCCAGGGAACCCTGGTGCTGCAAGTCCTGTACCTTTAAGAGTGCCTGGCGGGGGGCCAGCGCGCACCCGGGCGCGGGGAGCAGGGTCGCGTTATTAGCATTATTAGCCGACACAGGGTGAGCTCCGGCACTTAGCAGCGGTGATGGGGGCGGGGAGAGCTGGCGGTGGTGGCTCTAATCCTGTCCGCTGGGATATCGCGCCCAGGCCCCCTGCGCAGAATCCGCCTGGTCCTTTGGAAACATTTGGGCCTCAGAGTTGGGAGAGCAGGAGGGGGGCAGTTTGTGAACTCTTGTTTGTTTTAATTGTCAGTTGTATGTTAAAGCCGAGTCACACACTCCGAGGGTCACCAAGAGTTCACTTTTACGAAAAGTTAACATTTCTTCCTGCAGTATAACTTGCTATTTTCCAAATAACTTTTCCTCTCTGTCCTACAAGCTTCTATCCTTCCATTTTTGTTGATCTCTACCATTTTCGGTTTTCTAGAAAATAAGGTTGAAATTGGAATCAGGATGTTTCCTAAAAACAAACAAATTCTCACCCCTCTCCAAAATGTTAAAAACAAAAAAAACAAACAAACAAAAAACCCCGCAAACCTGGAGACCCCTGCGGCCTTGTTTTACTTTCTAAACCCAATCTGGCATGGGGCCCCTTCTCGGCTTTCTTTAAATGGACAACTCCCTGGTTGGAAGTCACTTGTAGCCAGCGGTGCGACCGCACCTCCTCAGCCCCCTGCCCTACCGCCGACGTTCATTGCGGCTCCAACCAGATGCGGAGATTTAGTTTCTAGACAGCCTCTGCCAGGGGAGTTCCGAGAGGGTAATGCTGAGAGCGCGCAAGCGATGGAGAGGCAGTGGAAATTGTGTGTGTCCTCGTGTGTGGATTTGTGCCCTGGGTGTGTGTTGGGGAGAAGTAAAAGGTCAGTTGTTTTGGGTTGGGTGTACTAGCCTTAGTCCCGCACAGCCTCACAAAGGAGAACCCCCCTCCCCTCCGGAAGCCCGACCGGAGAGTCTCTTTTGCCATTCTCCTCCCCTCATTGGAGCGCTCCAGTGCACGAGGGGTTAGCACCGTGCGCGGAGCTCAGCCTTTCCCGCAGTCTACTCTTCCCTGCCGTGCGGTGCCGGCTGCCCCCTGTTGGCTGCCTTGAGGTAGGACGCCTCAGACTTGGTTCCTTGGGGCCCGTGGGTAGCTGTTTGCCTGTAGCTCCCACCTCTGGCTGCGCACATTACTCCGGGCCGCCTTATTCCACTCTCTCCAGAGGGCTGCGCAGAGGCCCCCAGAGGACCAGCTGCATTGAGTCGCCACTGCAATATGGAAGAGCCCAAGGGTCCGATCCAGTAAATCGGGCCCGGGCGAGTGGAGGAAGAGTTGGTACCTCTTCTCCAATGCACAGGAACAAGAGCATCGCCCTCTAGGAGGCCTCGGGTCTGGTCTTGGCGCTCTCACCAAATTTCTCTGTAATCGAGGATAAGTGTTGCTTTCTTTCTCTTGCCCCCAGTTTCTTCGTATATTAAAAAAATGGAGTTGAAACTGCCTTAGAAGGGGGTGGGGGGTTGAACTGATGTTTTATTTTCTTTCTCCTTCACCGGACACTACTCTTCCGCTGGACAAAGTTGAGAGCCTGTGCTGAGAGAGACATTTCATGTGAGAAGGTAGAAGTGGTGTGTATGAGAGAGAGAGAGAGAGAGAGAGAGAGAGATTGAGAAAGGTTGAGAGGTTGAGAGATTGAGATTGTGGTCTGGAGAGCCTTGTGCAGGGGATGGACGAGGGAAGGCAGGGAACAGAAAGAACTAGACTTGGCTACTACTATTCCTCCCTTGGAGACTCCCTGTTACCTGTTACCAGACCTGCTGACGGTTCTGAGTCGGGGTGATCAGCGGCTGCTCACGTTCCTTGTACAGATTTGGGCTTTGGGAGCTCCCTCCACCTTCCCCCCACCCCCCTCCACAGCGCTGTGGATACGTCCTGGCGGCTTGGGGCAGCCTTGGCCCCCCTGCACCCAGGCTAGAGCCGTGGGGGAGCGCTGGCTCTTGGTCTGCTCCCCCAAAGCGGACCTCCTATCAGCCTTGGCCGGCTCATCTTCGTCATCTCCTCCCACTTCTCGTGGCGTTGCTCTAGGCAGGATGGTCCAGCGTTGTGGCTGCAACCGAGTTTTTCTCCCGCAGTTTTCTTCATCTTTCTTCTTGCTTTGGGGAGAGATCACAGTGGGAAAAACAAAGTTTATTTCCCTCCAAGAGCTACGATTCTTGGAGTTTCCTATGCTTTTCTACACCACGAGTTCAGGTCAAACTCACTCCCTCATCATTTCCACTCTCAGAGACTTGGGGGGACCTGGACGCAAAGACCCTGGTGGAAGGGGATGCCCAAGCCGGGTGAGATAGCGCCAGTGGCCAAGGGTCGAGGATATTCCCACTGCCTTTGTTGAATTTCTCTTCAGGGGCGGCGGGCGGAGGACTTGCACGGGTCTGCGCGTGCGTTCCGATGCTTTCCGTCTCACGCGAACGTCCTCTATCTAAATCAGCATGACGGTTTCCTCTCTCGCACCCCTCATCACTCCCCGCCCGCACTCCAGTTGATAAAAAGGGTCCGAAACACCTTTAATCCAATGCGAAAGCTTCGGAGGAGAGACAGAATAAGCAGCCACTAAAATTAGTTGCTCTGAACTGGAAACAAGGGCGCGCTGACGTTCTGCCTCCCTCTCCCCTACGCTTGAACCTCTCAATTGCACCCTCCTTCCCAAGCCACTCAAGGAACAGGTTCGGAGGATCCTTACAAAGCCGGCTTTCCCGGGCCCTGAAAGCGTCCGAAAACATTTAGTCCATTCCTTAGTAAACTCAGTTTACGCCCAGAAGTTTTGGTTTACCCTGAGTGTACCAGTCTTCGGAGAGGTCTCCTTTCGTACTGTTTTTTTGGATCAGATCTCTTGGTAAACAAGGCAGGGATGTTTACCCAACAGAGTCGATGTTATTTATTAGTGAGTTTGCTGTGGGTTCCTTCAGTATTTCAAACTTGTGGGGCCTTTTCTGGGTTGCGCGGGGTTTGGAGAGGGAAGAGGGCCAAGGTGTTTCCGGGCAAGCGTGCGGGGTTAAGTGGAGACGCGACTCGCCTGGCTCTCGTGCGGATCCCCTTGGGGACACCTTTGGCTAACCCCCAGCCTGGAGCTGGAGAGACCCAGGTCACAGAGATCCAGTGGCCCACTACCAGTTGTCCCTAGCTCTGGGAACGGGTGGATTTTTCTTGGGGTCGAAAGTGGGTTCGGTTTGTGTGGCTTCCCCTCTAACAAAGAGATCCGCTGTAATCCGCCGAATCTGTTATCAATTTCTCCGCTGCCCGAGCCCCGCCCCGCGCGCCCCGCCCGTCGGAAAGCTCCGAAAGTGCGCGCGGCCAGCAGCGATCTGCGCCGCGGTCTCGGAAGCATATCGGAGCGTGTGTGTATGTGCACGCGTGTGAGTGTGTGAAAGTGTATGGGTGTGATTGTGCATGAGTGAATGCGTGCGCGGCCTCGGCCGCCTATGGGGAGAGTCGACTTTGCAGCTTGGGCCGCGCGCGAAGGCAGACCTCGCAGCCCACCCCCTCCCCTGGAGGAAACTTGACACTTTGGGCGGGGGTGGGGATGGAGACGAAGACTTCTCTCCAAGGCTGGGGAAACCCCAGGTTTCTATTCTCTGGGGTGCGCCCCCAGTTTAGGGGCTTTTTTAGGACGAGTGGGCCACGGGCGCCGGAGCCCTGGTTAGCAGGCACTGGGGACCACATAAGCATTTCCTCTCGAAGAAGCCCCGAGATGTCCGGGCCAAAGGGGCTGCTGGCCAGGAAAAGCCGTGGCAAGCTCCTGAACCCCTTCGTGTTTCCAATGCTGCCTAGGTCCCCTCAGTCCTTTCTGCCGCGCAGGTTCCAGGCCAGGCCCTTCTGCCGCCTGGAAGAGGCTTACCTATTCTTTTCCGAGGAAGGGGTCCCTGGAGAGCCGCGGGAGGCGCAGCGCGTGCGGGTTACACTTATCAGAGATGTAAAGGGGATTTTGGAAACCTGCTCCTCCCACCCGCAGCCGCCACGGCTTTACTCCGCCGCCGCCTACAGGTGGAGAAGTCACCAGTGGGGAGGAAGGGCAGCGGAAGCCTCCAAGGCCGCCCCTGCCCCGAAATTCTTGACGATTGGAACCTTCGCCGCGCGGCCCTCTGCGCCCAGCAATCCAGGGGCTCAGCCCCGACGCGGGAGCCAGCGCATCTCTGGCCCCGTCGGGGGCTCACTCGAACCGGCTCTGTCTTCACTCTGCACCCTCACCGTTCGGAACAGACCGAACCGAGTCTTAATTGGGCTGGAGGGTGGGGTGGCGGGGTTCCATGGCCAGGCTCACAGTGCCGCGATGGCGAAGTGGCGGACAACTCAAACCAGGACCAAAGGAAACTGGAGTCCCCCTTGGCTTCCTTTCCCCTTTCTCCTTGGCAGCGGCCAGGAGTGGGGATGGGAGGGGTTGGAGGGAACGTGAAAAATAATTTGGAGGAGGGTTGTGGGGAGAGCAGGGAAGGAATCTTCTCCGAGTATATCGGGATCCAGATCCCCTTTTCTACTTTGGGGTGCCATTCTTTCTTTGGAGTACACTGAGTCCAAGGGAGCTACCTGTTTTCTGGATTTCTTGGTTGGGAGAGCAGATCTCTCTCCCCAATGACTCCTGTGCCCCCCATCTCCTTTTCCCTGCTTCTATCTGGCTGAAGAGCGTCCTAAGGAAATCCAGGCTGCCCTTCCCCCTCTGGAAGTGGCTTCGCCCAAAGCGGCCCGTAAACTGATTAAGAAACATACGATGTTAATTCAGAGCTGCATTTCCCAGCTGGGCACTTTCTCGCGCGCTGCTCCCCCAGGCCTCGCCCCCCACCCCCTGCCCTTCCCTCCCGCGTCCTGCCCCCACCCCCCACCCCCGCGCCGGCCACCCCGCCTCCTCCGCAGCCGCCGGCGGCGCGCTCCACACTCCTTCGCGCTCCTCTCGCCCTTGGAATTAATTCCGGCTCCACTTGTTGCTCGGCCCAGGTCGGGGAGAGGAAGAGGGTGGCGGCGGGTTCCCAAGTGAATTCTCGTGGAGGGACCCAGCACAGCGTGAACTAGAGGGGAGCGAGGGGGTGCGGGACTCCAGCAAGCGGGAAGGAGGCAGCGCCTGGCACCGGGGCTTTGACTCAACAGCACTGAGACATGTTTGTAATCGCTGGCGTGCCCCTCGCGCAGGATCCCAGCGAAATCAGATTTCCTGGTGAGGTTGCGTGGGTGGATTAATTTGGAAAAAGAAACTGCCTATATCTTCTCATCAAAAAACTCACGGAGGAGAAGCGCAGTCAATCAGCAGTAAACTTAAGAGACCCGGATGCTTCCGTTGTTTAAACTTGTATGCTTGAAAATTATCTGAGAGGCAATAAACATCTGCTCCTTTCTTCCCTCTCCAGAAGTCGATTGGAATATTAAGCCCAAGAGTTGCTTTGGGGACGGCTGGAAGTGCAATGTCTTCCAAGTTCTTCCTAATGGCCTTGGCCATATTTTTCTCCTTCGCCCAGGTTGTAATAGAAGCCAATTCTTGGTGGTAAGTTCATTCTATGTGCATATTTTGTTTTTTTTTAAAGGTTCATTTTGTATGATGCTGCAGTATTTAAAGCTGAATCATGAGTTTGGGTGCATTTATCTAATACACATATAATACAATTTATTTACATGTATTTTTAAATTTTCTTTTAATTTGCTAACATTGTAAACCTTATCTTTAGCTCCATAGGGGATCAGAACCTATAAATCTAGACCTTTCTCTATGAGGCCCTTGTTCAGATGGATGCTTGCAGTACATCATATAATAAAAGGGAACCAAAATTCACTTTTCTAATCATTGAAAACCTAGATATAAAATTTTCTTTTTGTCACCTCTGGGTAGTAAAAGTGAGTTCCAACTTTTATTTTTCTGTCACTGGACATTAACTTTCAGGGTCTGATGTAGGGAGAGTTCTAGGAAGACAGCTGAACTCCAAGTCGAGAAGTGTTTGGGCTCAAAGTTCGATCAACAAAAGGTGAACTTGAAGGAGTCAAATACCCCTGAACGAGAGTTTCTTTCTGCCAGGGCCCTTGCAGATAGGCTGCAGTATATCCAGAGGATTATTTTTGACGGCGTTCTGGATATTTTTCCCTGTAAATGAACAGTGTTTTTATGGCTGTCAAACATGACTTCTGTTCACTGGATACCTTGTCTTGGGTCCTTCACAATCATATATAAGGAGCCCTTTTAAAATATCCAGAGCATGGTGAATTTCCTTCAGTCTGTGTCCTTGTCCCACTGTTCTTCCCTCAGTCAAAAGGAACTGCTGTCTCCCACTCTGATTGTGTCTACTGTGGGCATTCATACGTTTTTCAAGGCAGAGTGGTCCAGTTTGTGGGGCAAAGTGAGTCACTTTCTCTAAGGTCAGAGACTTGTCCCGAAACCGCTGTTTACCTCTTTTCTGAGTGGATTTTGGAAATACTGGTTCAGGTATATGGCTGGGGGTGGGGGGCAAGGAAGGGAGTAAAGACTTTAACTGAGGAGCCAGATGGCGGGATGGAGACTACACAATACCTCCGTTTTCTGAGTGGAGCTGAAACAGAGGAGTTTTATGAAGCCCTTCTCATACTTTGTCATAAGGACAAGCAGGAGAGAAAAGCATCTGTGTGCTTAGAACTATGTCTTACTGACATGCTTTCTGGAGGCCCACCTCGAGAGTTCACGTAAATCTTGAATGCACATCTCCCCCCCACCCCTTTCCAGGTCGCTAGGTATGAATAACCCTGTTCAGATGTCAGAAGTATATATCATAGGAGCGCAGCCTCTCTGCAGCCAACTGGCAGGACTTTCTCAAGGACAGAAGAAACTATGCCACTTGTACCAGGACCACATGCAGTACATCGGAGAAGGCGCGAAGACAGGCATCAAAGAATGCCAGTATCAATTCCGACATCGGCGGTGGAACTGCAGCACTGTGGATAACACCTCCGTGTTTGGCAGGGTTATGCAGATAGGTAGGAGAACATTTAACATATTTCAAAATATATAAGAACTTTTCTTCTAGAGAAAGACCTTAGTGTTCACTGACCAGCTTGATCAACAGTGGTGGCTTGGGGATTTGTGTCATTATTGCTACCTGTGTTAATTTTGTTCTCACACTCTTTTCTCTCTCTCTCTCTCTCTCTCTCTCTCTCTCTCTCTCTCTCTCTTTACCTTTTGGACTTCTTTAACCCAATCAGGAAGGGAGCATCTAAGACACCGTTTTTTTCTGAACACTTAATTTTTTTAAAGAAACATTTTGGTTGCAATAGAAGCAGCACACTTCTTTGGTTTCTCAAAAGTAGATGAGGAAAGCTGAGTCATTTATATTCTTTTAAGCTTCAAAACTTTTTTAACTGTAAGCAGTTTCCTAACTTAAGCTTGACTTCAAATGGCCCGGGCAGCAAACTAAAAATTGTTATCTTTCTGAATGCTGGGCATGTTGGAAATGAATCAGGTTCTAATTTTCCTGATATTGATAGATAGTCCTTGAGGATATGGAGATGGATATATATATATATACACACACACACATATATATATGTATGTATGTATGTATATGTATATATATGGCTTTATTTAAGCCCCAGAAAGAATTTTAATTAGGAGTGGTCCAGTTTACATTTGGGATTTTGGCAGTTGATATAAAAGCACATACTTCAGACCTCAACCTAGAAACTTAACAAAAAACCACCTTAATTGTATCACTCACAGTCTGATTCTTTATTATAAAAGTGTTGTTGAACTTGTTATTCCGTTCAGGGAGGAGATGACATTAAAAGTGGACAAAAGGCAAAGAATTTGAAAAATTGGTTTGCCTCTGGTTTGGTTTAATAGCATAGGATAGTATCTGACAGATGAGGTCCTGTGTGTGTTTTCTAGTGTGAATATTTTAGGTCTCTTTACTTTTATGCAAACAAGCCCTTATAATTAATATGACTGCAGTGACTCCTAAAATAAGAAGCAATTTATCAAAGCAATTAACTGTTTATACTGACTGAAGATAAAAAGTTGGCTTAATATCCGTCACGGATGGATAAAATGCTTTTTTAAAAAACCCTGAAAAGTGCATTCATTGAGAACAAAAAAGAGTTGTCAGTGGATGTTTGAGCCAAGCGGCTTCATAAACTAAAATAATACAGGACTGGAAGCCTGTCCTCTAATTGAATGGGAAAACGGTCTGAAGCCTCAGCCTGCAAAGTTTCCTAGGGCTTTGTCCTTCCTGTTAATGATTAAAATGTGCTAATGTATATACTGCATCAGGAGCTAGGAGTTCAGCTTCAGGAACACAGGAGTTTTCCCTGAATATAAGCTGCCTTAGGTAGTTAACAGAGGGTGTAGTGGAGATTTAATTCCCCTGTATTTTGATATTGTGAGTGAATAAAAACCCTTAAAAAAAAAAGTAATATCAGAATGGTAAGTTGTCAGCTTTCCCCCTCCCATTTGCTTATATATCCCCCCCTAAACTGCCGTCCTCTCAAACTATGGGACCTTTTTTTCACAAGTATGTAAGTTAGCAAAAATCATGCACCTCTCATGGTAACCAGAAAGGAAAACAGCAATTGGAACTGTTTTTTCTGTGTAGTCACTAGAATCCAGCTTTGATTTAAGATCCTCTTCTTGTCTTTATACGTAGCCTGTTTGGGGCCAACATGTTCAGAATAAGCTATCATTTGCTAAGTGGATTTGAGTTCTTCTGGAGATTTATTTAAAATGTGGTCCAAGATTCAAAGAGCCTGCTTCCTCAGGGAACAGGCAGAACTCTTGGTGCAAAGGCCTATATTTAATTGTCCCTCGCAAGTACACTCTCTGGTCCTCAGCAGTGGGGTACTGCCTTCTGGGCTGATGGGGAGTGGGTGGGACAGCCTCTGAGGGAGCCCTCCTCCATAGGATCACCAAGTCTGCTGCTGTCCTGGGGAGATGCTGCAGCTCCCTTACCAACGTCCCCCAGGGGCCTGGGGTCTCAGGGCAGAAAGCTGCTGCTGGGTGGCTTGGGTTGGAACATGACACAGGCCTTCTCTTTTTTATTTAAATAGATTTGGAAAGAAGGAAAACCAGAGTAGCTTTTGGTGGAAGAGGAACATGGACCCAGCCCCAGTAGTGAGAAAGTTAGTTAGCTTTCACTTTCCTATTTAAGGGTCCCTTGGAAGAGAATGCGCTAAGGGAAAGTTCAGAACATCTTTCAGGCTGAAAGGTGTGTGTGCGTGTGTCTACCCCAAAGTTCTTAGCACGCCAAGGACACGGAGAGCAACTCTTGTCCGTGAGAATCTGACCCTGTGACGGGGCCAGTGTCTGAGAAACTCAGGGCTGCCACTTTCAACCCCTCCTCAACCCATTTTTCTAGGGTGCCAATGCCTTGAAGGCACTGTACACAATCGCCTCGTGAAGGGCCCACTCTTCATTTTGGAAACTTTCTCATTTTTCATCGTGCTACCCTTTCTTCCAGCTTTTGTCTCCATCTCTTCTTTGTCTCCACGCTGTGAAAAGATATGTCAGGAAGGCGCCATTTTTAAGGAGTGTGAGCATGGGAGAGGATGTAGATTCACAGGGAGGGCCGCCTAAGGGAAGCGGCAGGATTCCATCCAGGATGACTGTATCGCGGGCCATTAGCCAAAGAGCACTTTTCAAATGGACGGTTTCCCTGCAGTGACCAGTTAGCTTAGAGACTTCCACCAGGTTTGTGTTCTGGTGCAAAAAAGGAAAAGCTCAAGATAGACTTCAGAAACAAGCAGCATGATTGTGTTTTGTATAAAAGACCTTTTATGCTTTGTGTACTCACGGGACAGTGTCTTATTTTCCCTTATCTCTGAAGGATTGTTTATCTCCTCTTCCTCCAGCTACCTCTTTCTTCTACAAGCCTCCCACATATTCTGTAGTATGTGCTAATCCTTAAAGAACTCCTTAGAATCTGTCTTCCCTCCTCATTTCTCTTTACTCCTTTCCATGTTCCCTACCTCGATAATTCCAGCAAGATAGATGTCACACCCCACAGGAACGTTCTGGATCCTCTTGCCAACCATCAGCACACGCCTCAAGTTATTCATTTTTTTTTTTTTTTTAAATGTGGGAGGGAAAGTCTGTGGTAAATGGGAACCATCGCCATTCCTGGAAGGGGAGTCAGAAATGGCCGTGGATTGAAGCTGGAACAGAAGTCCAAGGCAAGGACGGATCCTTCATGGGCACAGCTACCCTTCTACAGAATGGCCCTCTGGTCTCTGGTCGGGCTGAGTTCTGCTGTCAGCTCTCCTGGTGTCCCTACCCCCCTCTGCCCCCCGCAAAGACGGTTAGCAAGCTCTTTAAGTGCAGAAGAAACGGATTCTCGTTCAGGGACTTGAGTGCCAGGAGAGGCCTTTTCTCCCCTAGGCATCTAGTTCAATATTCTGATTTTATAGTTGAGGAAAGCGAGGCCCCTCACCACACCCCTTTCTCTCTCATAGTACACCATTTTTATTAAGTTGCTTCTGTTAGGTGTAGAAATGTCTTCAGGTACAAGTGGAGATTCAGGCGGGCTCTGATCACCCCCATTTTTCTCCTGTATAACTGTTTTACAGGGGTGTAGTCTTTGCACGTTTTAGGGAAGGGGAAACCTGTTTTTCACCTCAGTTTGTATATTCTTCACAAGTCTGGGGAAGGAAGGAGCTTTTCCCCTTGCCCTTTAGAGTGTACTTTCTGCCTTCTTGCTGTCAGTCTAACACTTTGAGGCACAGGCTCCCAGGGAGCTGCAGCAGAGCATTGAAGACCAGCAGGCTGTTTTAACAGACACCCTCCCTTAGAAAGAGAAGTATCCGTCCAGTCAGCTTGGGTCCAAGAAGAGGGGGTTCACTGAGAACCGTCCAGGGAGTTTAGAAAATGTCCCCTGGGAAAGTCCAGAGCGGTGTCCTGAGACATACCTCGTGCTGCACGAGGGAGAGGTTACCACGCAGGAGGAGGGGGACGTGAGCTGGAGCTGGTGCCACACAGTGGCTGCTGCAGCGTCTGGGATCCACGGGGCCTCAGACTTCCGAGGCCCTCAGCCTGGCAAATCCATGCTCCTGCCCTGTGTAACTCAAAATGAAAATATTACAAACATTAAAATAAATGTAAGGAAGTCTACCCAAATTCTGAGTTCCCCCTCAATGACTTCTTTCTTGTGCAGTTTTGGAAATAAGAAGTTTCCAGTATTTTCAGAAGCGCTGTAGAGAAAACCAACCCAGCAGTGCCTTGAATCCTGCCCGTGGCTGTGCAAGGCCAGAGCAAAGATAGACATGTGCCCCTTCTTTGTTACTTGTGGCTTCTGCGCGTTTGGGGGAGGGGGGTCTTCTTGACTTCCCCTGGAGCGGGGCGCAGGGCCTGGGCGCAGGTCAGGGCTGGGGCCCTCTGCGGTGCCTGCCCCCAGGGCGCACGTGTGCAGAAAGGCTTTCCTGGGCAGCCCCGCACCTCCGCCCGCACTCCGGGTGGGGTCAGGGGCGCAGCGAGCCGGGCGCCCCCGCAGCGCCCGCTGACCCGCGCCCTCGCCCGCAGGCAGCCGCGAGACGGCCTTCACGTACGCGGTCAGCGCCGCGGGGGTGGTCAACGCCATGAGCCGCGCGTGCCGCGAGGGCGAGCTGTCCACCTGCGGCTGCAGCCGCGCCGCGCGCCCCAAGGACCTGCCCAGGGACTGGCTGTGGGGCGGCTGCGGCGACAACATCGACTATGGCTACCGCTTCGCCAAGGAGTTCGTGGACGCGCGCGAGCGGGAGCGCATCCACGCCAAGGGCTCCTACGAGAGCGCGCGCATCCTCATGAACCTGCACAACAACGAGGCCGGCCGCAGGGTGAGTGCCCCGTCGTGGCCCAGGCTCGGTCCCCCTCTCTGCCCCCCACGCGGGCCGGGCTTCTTCCGGCCACTGCCCCTCTGCCTCTCTCTATAGGTTCCCGTCTCTTCTGTGTCTCTGCGTCTGTCTCCCTCTCTTTCTGTCTCCACCCCCTTTCTGTCTTTTCTGGTCTCTTTCTTTCTCTCCGTTTGTCTTTTTTTCTCTCTCCCTCTCCTCCCTCCCCCCACCACGTCCCCCACACAGGTCGCAGGCCCCTCTGAAGAGGGGCACACACCCCAGAAAGGCCTCCTGGGGGTGAATCGGCCTGCCTAGGTCCCCTCCAGCCAAGGTGCTTCTGCAGTAGCCTGACAGAGATCTTTCCCTGCCTTTTTAATTAGTCCCCAGTGCAGTTTCAGCCCAGCTCAGAAGTAAAAATGTTAACAACGTTTGCCCTCCTCCTTGGAACGCCTGTGGTTGGGCTTAAATTTGGGAGAGTGAGTTCTTGATCCCAGTAAGTGCCCAGCTGAGAAACCCTCACCCCAGCTTCCAGGACTTACCTTTCTCCCTCTTCCCTATGTCCTTAGATAGCAGGCTTAATGGACTGAGGGCTTTTCTAAAAAGAGCTTTTCTAGGAAAACTGCAGCATTTTTTTTGTCATCTGACCATCAGACCAATTGAGGGGCCTGACTCTGCAGGCCCTTCTGAGTATCTCTGTTCGGCTCCTTCTTTCTCCTGGTGGGGACATGAAATGCATCTCCAATAGTGAAAAAGACCCCCTTTTTTCTGCAGTTCAGCACATGGCACTTTATGGCTGCTTTAAAATGAAGGGGTGAAAACTTTTCTTAATTTTGGCAGCACTGAAAACCAGGGTCATTATTTTTTCACAGAACCCAAGGTGGGTGCCAGGAACTTTCTGGTCAGAGATCTCACCCTTCTGTACTTTGGGGTGAGGAGAGAGAAGATAATCACAAAGTAGAATACTCAGGATTGGAAGAATCCTTAGCACCCTCCGGCTGCACACCCTCATTTTAAAGATTGGGAAACTGAGACCTGGAGAAACACTTCATGGCAGTGGAAGAAAATGAATGGAGTGAGATAGAAGCCGGGCGTTTTTTTGTTTTGTTTTGTTTTGTTTTTGTTTTTAAGTTAAACTCATCACAGCTTTAGGATGAAGGGCTATAGGCTTTGGAATGAGAGGAATCTAGGTTAGATCCAGTTCTGTCTGTACCTTCCTGTTTCTGAGCCTCAGTCCACATTTCCACACCTGTTAAATGGCGTGGCATTAACTGTCGTGAAGATATCTTGAGCACTAATGGGGACCGTACAGTAGGGAGCACCATATGGAAGACCAACACACCGCTATTCCTGATCTACAAAATAACAATTTCCCGAGGTTCAGTAGAAGAAGCTCTTAGTTTAGTGTCAGCCAGTAGTCAGGTGCCTAATGAATGTTTTGAAGTAAAAGACAGAGAAGTCAAAGATTATCTGGACACTTCCAGCCAACCTGTCTTCTCGGATTTGATTCCAAACATTTGGTGGTATGGGGGAGGACTGAACTCCGCAGCTTTTCGCCTGTGCTGCCCTGAGAGGTCAGATCATTGCTCCAGAGGGAGTGTGGCCCCTCCTTTCTCAGGTGGCCCAGTGCTGTGGACTCTCCCCACTGTGGCCCACCCACGGCTGTGCCATAGGCACGCCAGCCCTGCTCTCTCGGGGAGCCCAGAAGGCCTTGCTCCCGTGCTCATCAGAGACACACACCTTTACCCTCTGCATACAGTGTGGCCCAGTGCCTCAGACCAGATCTGCCTCCAGGACAGATGTGGCTGCTGGTCTGGGCCCCATTCTGCCCATATGTGGTGCTTTCGTCCATCTTTGAAGATTTCTTACACGTAGAGAAATCATCAGGAGCTTAGCAACCAAGGAGAAGGGGTTAAGGGATTTCCAAGTGGAGAGAGGGAATTTTGCAGAGTTGGAAAAGCACCTTTAATATTATAATTTCATTTAACATGTGCATTTTTTAATATTGCAGGACCCCCCCCCCCCATAAGTTTTATAATTCAAGCAATGAGTTGAGTTTGTATCCTGGTGGATGAAGTTACATAGAAGACAGTTTTTCTCCAGGATAGTGGGGTAGGGGCAGGGAGGTTGGACACTGTGCCAGGAAACCATATTAGCTTCTCGGGACGTTGCTTTTTATTTTCCTCGTAGGGGAGTGAAGTTAAATATGTTTGCAAAACCCTTCCTTAGACAAGCTGAGTGCCTGAAACTCTTTATGCCAAGGGAATATACTTTGGCGCCCTTTTTAAGAAAGCCCCTTAAGAGTCCCTGGAGGAAGAACATGGCTGTTCTGGGTGGAAGCAGCCTTGAAACTCACTCCAGCCTCCAGGTTCCTGCCAACAGCGTGTGGACTCGGGAGGGTAACTGGTATAGGAACTGTAGGTGTCAGGACTATAAATAGATAGCCGCCCCCTCCCAGACTGTTGGGCACCGTGGGGTGGGGCCAGACCTGAAGCCAAGGTGATTGGGGAGGGCCCAGACACCATGCCCTTGTCATCCTGGAGAAAGACCAGGCTTACTGATTGCATCCTGCATCTAAGTACTTTCCATGCATCCTCTCATTTTGTCCTGACAACACTGCTGTGAGACTGGTGCCATCATGGTCCCCTCCACGGATGGAAAATGGAGGCTCAGAGAGGGGAAGCCAGGTGCCTGTGTTCAGAAGCAGAGTCAGGACAGAATTCATGTCTTCCTGGGCCCAGGGTGGGTGCTCTTAGCCCAGGCAGGGGAGGTAGGGGGTAGGGATTGTTCGGGAAGCAGGAGGGAGAGGACCTGAGATCCAGACCCAATCCTCCAACATTCTAGCTGTGTGACCTGTGCAGGCCACTTACCTTCTCTTACCGCTGTGCCGCCATCTCATCCAGCCCATGTTTATCACATTGCTGGGTGGATTAAATGAAATAAAAGAATGTAAAGGCTCTTAATACAGTATCTGGCACACAGCACTAATAGTACTAGTAAAGATCTGAACCCCGATTCTACCTGGGCTGGACCCCTCCCAGCCCTACCACTTATCGGCTGAGTACCCATAGCAAGTCACTGAGCATGAGCTTGGAACCCATCTGCCTGGGTTCAAATCCTGGAACCCCTACCTCCCAGTGGTTGGGTAAGTAACTCACCTCTCTGGGTCTCATTTCACTTTTCTGTGAAGGGAATGATAATAGCCCTTCTCTCATAGGCAGGTTGTAGGGGTTAATCCGGGTGGTGCAGGTAAGGAATTGTGCACAATCTCTGGAATGAGTGTTCAAGCTGCATTAGTTGCTGCTAACGTTTCCCTGCAAAACAGAAGCCACTGGAACAGTTTTTTTTTCCTGTTCCTCTTAAAAAACTGTGGTTGTTTATTATGATGATGTGTAATAATGAGGGGCTAAGAACATATTTATTCGGTAGACATTTTAGAGAAAGGAACACAGACATCCGTAGTGGAGAATGAGGTGGAAATAGCCCAGCCCCTAGTGGAGCTGACGGCCAGGTTTCCATCTAGAAGGTGGAGGCAGCTTTGTTAACGCAGCCCCCCCCCCCCAGTCTGGGTTCCTCCACGCCTTTGTAAATGGACTGTCATCTCCCCACAGACAGTGTACAACCTGGCCGACGTGGCCTGCAAGTGCCACGGGGTGTCCGGCTCCTGCAGCCTCAAGACGTGCTGGCTGCAGCTGGCTGACTTCCGCAAGGTGGGCGACGCCCTGAAGGAGAAGTACGACAGCGCTGCGGCCATGCGGCTCAACGGCCGAGGCAAGCTGGTGCAGGTCAACAGCCGCTTCAACTCGCCCACCACGCAGGACCTGGTCTACATCGACCCCAGCCCCGACTACTGCGTGCGCAACGAGAGCACGGGCTCGCTGGGCACACAGGGCCGCCTGTGCAACAAGACGTCCGAGGGCATGGACGGCTGCGAGCTCATGTGCTGCGGCCGCGGCTACGACCAGTTCAAGACCGTGCAGACGGAGCGCTGCCACTGCAAGTTCCACTGGTGCTGCTACGTCAAGTGCAAGAAGTGCACGGAGATCGTGGACCAGTTCGTGTGCAAATAGTGGGCGCCCCGCCGCCCGCCTGTCACCCAGCCCCGTTCCCAGGACCCACTTATTTATAGAAAGTACAGTGATTCTGTTTTTTTTTTTTTTTTTTTTAATATTGTTTTATTTCCCCCCAAGAATGGCAACCGGAACCATTATTTTTCTGTTCCCATCTAAGAACGCTGTGGTTTATTATTAATATTATAATTATTATTTGGCAATAATGGGGGGTGGGAACCAAGAAAATATTTATTTTGTGGATCGTTGAAAAGGTAAGACAAGACTTCTTTGGATGGTGTAGGATGAGGGGGAAATGACACATACCCTGACTTAGTGTGTGCACGTCTAGAAGGAAAAGGAACTAGTTTTCTTTTTCTTAGCCGTGGGGACACACAGGACAGGTAGCATCCAGCTGGAAGAGGGTGGTCCAAATCTATGCTCAGTTCAGCCTCTGTGACGAAAACGAATTGTAAATGCTCTGGTGAAAGGTCTTGAGAAACAAACAAACAAAATATGAGACTCCCTTTCCCAGCCTGAAACATGTTCAAAATGGTAATTGAAAATACAAGAGTGAGAGTCTCATATCCCTGAAAGAAAAAACGTATATCATGTGTCTCATGCTTCTCAAACATTCCATGTGTAGATGGTCCTATTCCAACAGCTACTGAAACTTGGGGAGCAAGGAGGAAAGCCTCAGAAATTAAAAAAACTTAAACTCCCAGATGAAGACAATGATTGGAAGCGGTTGTAGGAATTAGATTATCCAGTTGAGAAAGCATCCCCCAAAGACTCTGGGCTGTAGACTTTTTGTTTGGAAAGGGGTGAGGGAGGTTGGCTTGGATATAAAGGAAAATATACTGTAATTTTCTTAGGGAGACTTGGTTAATAAATGATAATAATCAAAATAATAAATGGATTCCATTCACAGACCCTCCGCCCAAACAACAAGGTAATTGCATGTAGTTCAGCTCTGCGCCAGAGCAGAAAACCTATTTGAGGGGGAAGAGTGAACCCCCGCTCCCACTTGACCCCAAGCCCTGTCAGATTCCTCCTTGCCCCTCGGAGGAGGTGAGGCTGGCCACGTGGCCAAACAGCAGCCCCACTGGGTCCCCTTTGATTGCAGGACAGGAGGTGAACCATTAGAAGCCCCACTTGAAAAACAGTTAGCTACTTAGGTATTTTTTCCCTAAAACTTTTATTCTGAGGAGCCCTAGTTTTATATGTTTTAATAACATTACTTGGCCAATGGAGTTCACAGAGATGTTGCAGCTTCACTGTCACGATCCTGTGTTTAGACTCTCCACCCCATGCTTTTCCTATTATACTGCAGGTGAACCCTAAAACTGTTCCTAGTGTACTTGAACAGTTACATTTATAAGGGGGGGAGGGGAATGTGGTTTAATGGTGCCTGATATCTCAAAGTCTTTGTACATAACATATATATATATACATATATATATAAATATAAATATTATTATATCTCAGTGCAGCCAGTGATTTGGAATTACACTTTACTCTGGGGTTATTTCTCTGTCTAGAGAGTTGTTGTCCTTCATAGCAATCCATTGGGATTTTTCCAAAGGGTTTTCGAGTTGAGCTTGGGCTGTGGCCCTGATATGATGTACCTTGAGCATCACAAAACAGCCTCATTTTTGAGGACTCTGGAAGGCCTTCCTCCCTGATAGGCATGTTGGTGTGAAGATTTATTTTATCTTCCCCGCCCCACCCCCTTTTCTCCAACCTCCATTTCTGTACCTTTCCCTGAGGGCATTACTCTTTCGTCATAGACTTGGAAATGAAGAGAGATTCAGAATTCGGAAGCATGGTCAGCGTTTCTCTTTCCTTGGTTCATTCTGCAGAGTGGAAACCGGGTGCCTGGTAGATGTCGTGGTACCTATTTGAGTCCCTAAGGAAAATCCAGTTCATGACATAAACAGCTAGTTCATTTTTTTTTTTTTTTTTAAACAGGACTCCTCTTTCCAAAAAGTGCCATCAACCGTGTTCTTATCTCAGACGGACATGGTTTTAGAAGTTTGGAAAGACACCTATCTCCTGCGACCTTTGTCGGCTCGGTGGTCTTCACACCGCTTCAGCCGTCTGTGGCTCTTAATTTATTGCACAAGGATATTCACTTCCCCTCAGTTGCAGTGAATTGCAAGCAAAGATCTTGAAATTAAAAAGCACTAATTAGTTTAAAATGTCACTTTTTTGGTTTTTATTATACAAAAACCATGAAGTAAGTTTTTATTTGCTAAACCAGATTTTGTTCCTTTTTAGTGATTCATGTTTATGAAGAGAGTTGAGTTTAACAATCCTAGTTTTTAAAAGAAACTATTTAATGTAAAATATTCTACTTGTCATTCAGATATTATGTATATCTTCTATGGCCTTTATTCTGTACTTTTAATGTACATATTTCTGTCTTGCGTGATTTGTATATTTCACTGGTTTTAAAAACAAACATCAAAAGGCTTATGCCAAATGGAAGATAGAATATAAAATAAAACGTTACTTGTATATTGGTAAGTGGTTTCAATTGTCGTTCAGATAATTCATGTGGAGATTTTTTTGAGAAACCATGAGGGAGAGTTCAGTGTGACTCCATGTCAGAACAGAAGAGCGGAGGATTTTTACCCGAAACCAAACTATTTGTAAGCTTCAAAAGATTTCTATATGTAACGGAACAAAAGGGGAATTCTCTTTTCCTATATATGTTCCTCAAAAAAAGAAATCAAGCAGATGGCTCAAAGCTGGTTATAGGATTGCTCACATTCTTTTAGCATTATGCATGTAACTTAATTGTTTTAGAGCGCCCGCGTTGCTATTGTAACATCTCGGAGAAGAACTGAAAAGGCACATGTTTCTATCCATGACCAGAGCTTTAGTCCAAAAGAGTGTATTTGTGTTTACCTCTGCAACTGTTGCACCTCTCTGTTTGAAGTTACTGTGGACTGAGTGTCTCTGTTCTCCTTTGAAAGTCATTTCAGGAAAACCAAGCCTCAATCTGTAGAGAATGAAAACTCATTGGAAACGAAAAGGCTCGTTGTGTTAAGTGCAATTAATACGGGTTCTGGTGCTTTCTGAAAGTGGACTGAAATCCGGCCAGCGCTGCCCAGATTGATACGTTAGCCCTTTGCTTTTTTTTTTTCTTTCTGGATAACCTTGTAACATATTGAAACCTTTGAAGGATGCCAAGAATGCATTATTCCACAAAAAACAGTAGACCAACATATAGAGTGTTTAAAATAGCATTTCTGGGCAAATTCAAACGCTTGTGGTTCTAGGACTCACATCTGTTTCAGTTTTTCCTCAGTTGTATATTGACCAGTGTTCTTTATTGCAAAAACATATACTTGATTTAGGAGTGTCAGCAAATTTTTTTCTTCGCATCCTGGAATGCATTCAAGATCTTCCCAATACAGGGAAATTAACAAAAAAAATTATATATAGGCAGTGGCAAGCAGAGCCATGATCAAAATAGTGATTATGGACTCAAGTAGAAGGAAGACTGCTTTAAGTTTGAGTTCAGTTTATCTGTTCAGTTGCTGACCTCCTGACTGTATGCGTTTCAGTAGCCTACCCAGACCCTTTGCTCAGACGATTTTGCCGATACCAAGTTTCACTTTGTTTTTGCAGAACATTATGCAAGCCACTGGAATGATCAAATATGACACTCTAGCAGGAGAAATACTCCAAATGGGAGACCGGGACTGGCCGACTCCAAGAGTTCATTAGCAAAAACAGTCCCCAAAGGCTGAGTGGTTCAGGTATAAGTTGAGAGCGACAGATAGAAAAGGTACTTATAACTTGAAGCATGTATGTAATGCAAATACGCACCAAGGCATAGGTCTAAAATACTGCTTTATCACTGCCAATGGTACTTTAAAAATATTTATTATTATTTTTTTAGAAAGTGTTTTTTAGTTTTCCATCTCTCTATGGAATGGTGAAAAACAGATGCCATGTTTTGAAAGTAAGATAATAAAATGAGTTTTTAAAACAGGGAAACTTCAGCATGGTAGGCATTACAGCTTAGTCAAGGGATCTTCTAATTTACCTGTCCGTACAAACTTGACACTGAACTCTGATGATCGGATGCTATTTTATTTTAGCGAAACATCATCTTGTTAGCCAACTTTTAAAAAAAATGGATGTAGACTGATGAAAGCTTGGTATGACTTTTTTAAGAACAAAAATGTATCAATTTGAATCGAGAAGATTTAATTAAAATGCTGTCGCAGTGTTTCAAAAGCCAAGAAGGAATGAGGAAAAGAGCATCTTAGACCAGTTTTATATGCAGTGTACAATTTGCTGGGCTAGAAATGAGATAAAGATTATTTATTTTTGTTCATATCTTGTACTTTTCTATTAAAATCATTTTATGAAACCGGCGCAGTCGTGTGTGTTTAGCAGAGATGCTGTCCATGGAATCGGAGCCTGATGCATGTGGGCACAGAGCACAATTATGGTTTAAGGCATCCAGAAGAGAACATTCACATTTCAGGCATGTAGTTGATAATTATGGTCGAATCGCAAGGATTTACTTTGCATTTTAATGCTCATTTTCCTTTTGGCTAGTGCCAATCTTTCCATTTCTTGTTTGTTCTGCTGCTGCAAGAGTTGTATTAGGAGATTATTATTCCGTACAGGCATTTAGCCCAGCGACATGGGATTACGATGAAACTCAAGGGCGAGAGAAGAAAATGATTTGAGGAGAGAAATAAAATAATGTTCTAGATAAACAGACAGAACCACCTGGACTATTCCGCTGGTGGTTTTATACATGTTGCGACGGTTGCCAGCCAGGTATTTAGGTGAGCTTCCTAACCTCAGCACTATTGGCATTTGGGGCTGGGTAATTCTTTGTTGTGGGGGTTTGTCCTGTGTGATTCTTAGCAGCATCTCTAGTCTCTACCCACTAGATGCCAGTAGTAACCCCCATTCGTGACAACCAGAAATGTCTCCAGACTGCAGAATGTGCCCCAGGGAGCAGAATCACCCCCTGTTGAGAACCACAGCTTTAGGTGGAGGGACTGAGGTCTGAGCAGCTGGGGAATACAAGCTAACCACAGTGGTGCACTGTGACCTGCCTAGGTTGGCTAATCAGCCAGGGAAGGGCCTTGCAAGTTTCCCTGTGTAGAATATGGTCATGTAGCGTTTTCCACAGGGCTGGCGGCCTTAGCAATTAATAACACAGGCTCTGGAGCCAGACTGCCTGGAGTCGAGTCCTGGCTGGTGCTGCCAATTGCTGTGTTACCTTGGGACAGTTGTGTAGCCTCTCTGAGCATTTGCCTTTAAAATAGGAGAGAATATTATACCTACCTTTTGGGTTGTTGTAAGGATAAAAAGAGTTAACATGTTTTGAGCACTTAGAGGAGATTCTGGTCCATATTAAATGTTAGTAGGAAGGATAGAATCAGGATAGAATCAATCTGAAGGCTAAACCCAGGAAGTGTGGACCAGTATTAACAAACCCTACAGGGGTTAGCTCAATGCCAGGAAGGCACCTGAGTGTCCGGGAGGTTGCAGACTTGTGTCCTGTCTACATCACGATTCCAGATGTGTTTTGTATGACTGGCAAAGTATTAAAAATACTCAAATTAGTTACCAGCATTTAAAAGATCAGTATTTTCACTTTTTAGTTTGGATTTTGGCTTGAAAATGGATGGATGGCATCATGGGTCACCTCTAGCAGCAATCAGCTGAGTCCAGGCAGCTGTTGACCCTTTGATACAGGGCTGAGTATGTCCAATTAGTGAGCCATTGATGTCACTTCGCTAACCCCTTCGCTAATCACTTCGCATACTTATGTATGCTTTTAAAAGTGTTTTTCCTCTAAGCGTTTTCAACCTCACCACTATTGACATTTCAGGCTAGATAATTCATGTTGTGAGGGCCTGTCATGTGCATTACAGAATATTTAGCCACCACGCAGGCTTATATCCACGAGATGCCAATAGCGCCCCCTCCCATCTATGACAACAAAATAGGTCTCCAGGCATCACTGAATGTCTCCTTGGGGGCAGAATCACCCTGGTTCAAGACCATTGATCTAGAATAAATGATCTGCATTCATAAGCTAGCCATTGAGGTTAAAACAAAGAAGATGAGTCTCTTGGTGTACAAAAATGGCACAATCACAGAAGCTTGATAAATATTTAATGAGCGAATAAAAAACATCCATTTCCATCAGCTCCACCACCATTCTGGAATCTGATATAACCTGAAAGACCACCTCAAAGCCTAACAATAGTAGCAATTTAAGAGGGGGAATTAGCATTAAAAACAAATATAATAAACTCTTAGCTAAAATTTCCTAGTTAGCCTGTTTCCACATAGCTGGATGAATATGCGCTCCGTTCTTTGATCTTTGTTATTAAGCTGCAGTTTGTAAAGGCATCCCATCACTCACACACCCAGGAGATGCTCAACAGAAAGTGTCACTGCCAAACAAGTTTGGAAAATGAAGAAGGGTGGATGGATCATTGCCCTGCTGAGAGATGTGTGCTGCTCATTAGCATATTGGCAGTGCTAAAATCAAAGAGCCAAAGAGCTGCAGGAGGCGAGGCTGCTGGTTAACTCGGAGTTTGTTGGAATGTGTTGGCTCCTGTTCATGGAACACCTGTTGCTATCCTCTGGGCATGTTGGGGAGCCCTGGTGGGGAGCTCCCCTCCCTCTGGCAGGTTTTGTGGGGCAGTGTTCTGTTGAACTGTCTGGCTTGCCTTTTGTGGCTGCAGAGGGGACAGAGTGCTCCTCGGTGGCTTGTCCCATCTAGAGAGCTGACACTGCCCCTCCCTCTAAGGAGGGGCTGGCCCTGGGTAGAAGTTAATCCAGTTTACAGCCCGGTGTTGGGGATGGGAAAGGAGGTGCTCATGGAGGTGACCAAGGGAGTCCTGACCTACAAAGATACCACAGAAGTGGGGAAGAGAAAGGAAGGGAGGGAAAAACAGAACAGGGTAGAAAGAGGAAAAGAGGAAGGCATGAAAAGCAGAGATGAATAAAAGCAGGAGAAGGTCTAGCTGTCCTCTGACCTCCAGACAAATCTCATTTCTACTAGTTAAAAACAAGTGGGATAAGAAGGCAATTATTTGACAAGCATTTATTCTGCATCTGGTGAGGATTTCATCTTTCACCCATTTAAATAAGCTTTCCAAGAATCTTTTGAGGTAATAGTGGTATCTTCATATTATAGTTTGGAGAG